TGAAAAATCAAGCTGTTTAGAGTATGCTTAAGAAGCTAAAACATTAGAAAATAGCATTCAGAAAACTGATATAGCTATTCTATTAAACTTAAAACTCAGTACCATGGAATGGTGGAGAACAAGATCTATTCAAATCCAAAAGCATTTGCTTTCAGTGGTGTGCAAAAATCTAATACTTTGGGCATGCAAACATATGAAATGAAAATATTACCTGGGGGCCTGAATTTGTGAACCATATGCAGCATGATATTATCCAAAATGATGGAAAGCTTCAGCAGTGAACAAGAACTTCAGATGAAAGAAATATTATTTYTTAATACGGTGCGATCTTTTATGTGTAAGAGTTCCCATTCCCACCTAGAGGTAAAACAGCTTCCATGAAGCATGGCCTGAAGACTAATCACATGTGTTTTGACATGTGTGCCTGTGTGAGGGCACAGAAACAAATTACATGGCAGATGATCTGCTTCTTTTTGAAGTGGGAGTGGCAGAAAGGAGAAGGAGATGGAGGAGAAACTCTTAAAAGCTCCTTTTCGATTGTGGTGTCACACACAGGACATTGAGCATGAGCACACACACCTGGTCAGGCATTCAGACCTCCCTGAGTATTTAAATATTGGTGCCAGTTTCAACAGACAAATCTAAGACGTCTTGATTAAAAGGTGACTTTTGTGAAACCTCCTGTTTCTGGATATTCTATTTTATAATAACCACTCCTCCAGCACATGTTCTTGGTACCATTTCTACCTTGAATCTGGTGTATGCATTTCATATAGGCAGATACACAACATGATGACAAAGCAGGGTGCATCAAAGAGGATTTCTGCACTGGGAGAAGGAACCACAATAAATCTCAGACAAGAGAGACATTTGGTGATACAGCTGTGGAACAGCAGTGTGCTTGCCAAAGATGGAAGACAATTTACCATAACTACAAAGGGAATATTCTGAAAAACTCTGCCACACTTTGTAGTTGTTRCCATTTTCAGAGTGGATTTTGACCTAACAAACTGATTTGTCTTAATATTTTGATGTTTGGTGTTCTACTGTAGGAATTACTGCCACTGCTTCAGGAAGGTGGTCTTCTACATCCAAAAATATTAAATTATGCCAGTGTGGGGTTTGCACATTGAACAACTCCATTTTCTCTCTATCTCCTTTTTTTTCTAGTTAAATCTAAAATACTAAGCTCCTACAACTGTCCAATTAAAGTCCCTTTTCTGTTGTCTTCTGTAACATTTCAAAGCCAGCTAACACTCAATACCTCATGTCACACTAAATAAATGAAAAGTAACTCRGAACAAAGAGATTGTTAGTATGCATAATGGCAGAAAGGTGTGACATTTTCAGCTGTCATGCTGGCCAATCTCAAATTCAATCTCATCGAGCTCCAGTGGATACACTGTAGGTATTGCAGGTGGAAAGCAGGTAGCACACTATTGTAATCCACACATCAACTTCACAGCTACGTGCAGCCTTTGTTATTTGCTAAACAATTTGAATGTCAACACTTAAACTAAGGCTTGAATGAAAAWCTGGGACCAAATTTTGTCTCCTTTTGTAAATCCAGATACATTTTGGGTTTTCTGGATATTGGGTCTATTTTTATGACCAATGTTTCAAAACAAACCCATGAACTTTATCAGATTTTTTTTAAATAATGAAGGCTTTTTTTTTTTTTTTTTCCCCCCCCGTTTTGCACATCTTGATGGCTACATCTTCAGATGAAGAATAAAGCTTAAAATTGTGGCACTTGCTTGAGAAAATACATCCCAAGGTGTACTCTCAGTTATATGGTTTGATTTCTGGAAACACATCAGAGTAGAATTTCTACTCTGCTGCCATTTTGAGGCTATTTCACCATTTCTCTCATTTGCCTCTGCCCATGCTGGTTTTTTGTTTTTTTGGTTTTTTTTTTGAACATTCAGGAGACACAGTCTTCCTTCAGGAGACACATAAATACTGGGAAAATAAAATTCCTTTCTGGTCTCAGATTGCTGTTTAGGTGACTACTCCCTTCCTAAACCTCCTTATTTTCAGAAGCAGATCAACTGATTCTTCTGGATAATTTGCATGTCTATTTATTACATTAATTATGATAATTCTTGAAAAATGCTAACTCTTGAAAGCTGTTGTAAACATAAGGCTTAGTACATGTAGACATTTTTGGCATTTTGCAAATGTTCATTTCTGATTCATGAATAAGCTTGACCTGGAGGTTATTATCCTCTTCTCAAGTAAGGGAGAGCTTCTTAAGAAACCTGAGAAAAGAAGCCTCCCTGTTCCTGATGTAGCAATCACTGCTGTTGTTCCCCATCTGCAAAACAGCACTAAGCACAGAACCAGAGRAAGGGATTCAGAGGGTGCTAATTAKTTGYTATTTCATKATAATGGCTYRGAGTGGTAACAGATAACAGTTTGGTGAACAAATACCAAAGCAGGGACATATACATAGATATCAAAGAYTATTTGAGCATCATCACATCTGATAAAGTGAATTAGTATTCTCAGAAACTGGTTACTGACAGGCTGGAATACTGCTGGGTGTCTTTTGACATACAAATCACTGACCATATGATGGATGGTTCTCATAACTATGATGAGATCAGTAAGATGCCTCCCAGCTTCCCTTAGGTCATCATTACTTGACCAAATACGTCTTTGTGAAGCTGGGGAATAAATGGCACTTTTTGAACTTTTTTCCTTCTTTTCTATTTTTCTTTTTTTTTCTTTTCTTTTCTTTTCTTTTCTTTTCTTTTCTTTTCTTTTCTTTTCTTTTCTTTTCTTTTCTTTTCTTTTCTTTTCTTTTCTTTTCTTTTCTTTTCTTTTCTTTTCTTTTCTTTTCTTTTCTTTTCTTTTCTTTTCTTTTCTCTTTTCTTTTCTTTCCTTTCTTTTCCTTTTCCTTTTCCTTTTCCTTTTCCTTTTCCTTTTCCTTTTCCTTTTCCTTTTCCTTTTCTACCAGGAACTCAAACAACATGAATTAGAATCAGCACTCAATCTGATAGGAATGATGCTGCAGCTCAGTGCAACCTGGTTACATCAGAAACCTATTTTAAAAAATGGACAGATCAGATCCCTGCAATTAGGTTAACTTAAATCCTACAACTTCCTTGTACCTCGATGACTTTGGTGCACTTCTGATTTGCACTTGCCAATGCTAACAGCAGGTAATTTTTCAGTCTTGTATGGGTTCCATCTGAACAGGTAGTGCTCTGGAAGCAAAAGAAGTGTCCTGCTGTAGCTATTTATACTYGTGTAGCTTTTCTCCTGCTGTAAAGCACCTTAGTAATGTTGATTCTGCTAAAGGCTGTTGCCATTATGACTGAAAGGCTCCAGACTGGTTGGAAGACTTCTTCCATGAAAAGAATKATTTTGACAAAGAATACGCCTGAGATTCTCAAAGTCCTGAGGACATTCAAGTGGAGCAGAGACTGTGTTCCTCTTAAGTGGGAATATAGTTTGGGGGAGAGATCTATGAAATCCTTCCAATTCCAAAWCCCCGATGCCATATAATTAGGCAGATGTTTGTGTAACATCTGGGAGGAAGATGAAGACTGAATCATCAGCRAGTTGTTGGTAGTGATATGAAAAGRGAGCCCAGCACTGGATACTGAGGCAGAGGGCAGAACAAATCAGTTATCTCTACATCAGAAAAATGCTTGACAGGTACCATTAACAGCTTCTAATGTAAAAATGCCCCATTTACACTTTTTCTGTWACCAAAAAGAACTCAGGCTACCAGTGGCCTGAAGAACCTATTTTCCAGAGAGAAAGGAGAGAGCCAGTACAGAACAAGACAAATTCTATGCACATGCCTGAAATACAGTAGGGCTCCTATGGAGCTTGCTAATTTAGGAATGGAGGAGCACCAAGAAGACCTTCTTGGCTGTGGAATAAGCCTGACTTAAAGAAGCAAGAAAGCACGTGATTCTAGTCCTACAATAGASAAACAAAGGCAAACAGATGGAAAACAACTAAGGCACGGTCACACAGCAAAGCACTGTCCACGAGGGATTTCAGCTCCAGGTTTCCACATGCTCACATATCATGAAGCCAGCTTGCTCCTTCCACCTAAACTGCCTTTCCCTGCAGAGGTAGCACAATGTCAAACTGGTGCTTTTGTGCAAATGTTGAAGGCACRTGGTGTCTGCCACAGACACAAATGGTTTTGCCACTGCTGTTTGAAGTGTTAACACAACTGGTGACAACGCCTCCCGTCCCTGAGTACCTTTAATGCTTTTTATTGATATTATGAAGTTCTGCAACTAAAGTAATAGGATTTGTCAGGGGCCGTTATAAACTGCCCCTGCTGGATAAATACATAATACATGATGGCAAAGGTCCGATGGGCCTTTAATCAATTGCCTTTCTGAGTCAAATAAATGTCACGTTAGACATGAGCCTAAGGTTGCATTCTGTGGGTGCCTCTGCTCCCCTCRTCTCGCAGGGCTGACACTGCCACAGGCAGCTATGGACATGCATAGGCTCCTACGTATTTGTGGCAAATATATCAGAGCAAAACCAGAGCAGCATGCTGTAAATTACAGATTTGGGACACCTTATAATGAAAGGCAAAGGAGAAGGGGAAGAAATATGGGGACACTATAGGCATGATAGGTCAGCTCAAATACATCTCCTTGGGAGCTGGCATTGTCACACCACCTTTTGCAGCCACTGCAGCAAATCTCATCTTTCTGCCCACAGGGAAGGGGAGAAGGCACCGTGCCATTTCTTTCTACACCGCAAAAGTAGTGGGTCAACTTTAAATGTTAAAGCCACATATTTCGGGTCTAGTATCAGGAAAAGAAAGCTCTTTCATTCTTTCAGCAAACACCTTGAAAAAAATATGAATGTCCATGTGCACTTTAGCATCCCTTTAAAGAAATTCCAGCAATCAAAACACAACTCAAACATAAATTTACAGATTTGCAGATTTAATTACTCTCCCTAATATGAAAGAGCTATTTCTCTTACCTTTTTTTTTATTATTATTATTTTTTTAATTCCAGGCAGCACTTTAACAGCCATCTACTTTTCTCTCTGAACAGATAGGAAACATGAATTTAAATTGCAATATGGAGATCTTAAGTAGCACAAAGTCCAGGTCTATTTGGATGTGAYGTTCTAAACCTAAATTTAAAAGCCCTCATTATTTTTGGCATTCACAAAATARCTTCAGCTTGGACATCCCAAAACAGTGGCTTAAAATGCTGGTGGACATTTGGAAAACTTGGTCTGTCTTTACTTAACTATAGTAAATATTATGAAGTGGTAGTGCTATATTTCTCTTTATATTTCAACAAGAAGAGTCATTGTTTCAAAAGCACTAGATTTCMCTGCCAGTATGTATGAAGGAATCCCAGAAAAATGTGAGTTTTTGTTCCAAATRCGCAAAACCATCATGTGTCAGAACCTGACAAAATTAAAACTCAAATGATAACAAACAAACACTCAAAAAGGTTCTATCCCTTATTACCCCCAAAAAGGAAAAAAACCAAAACATAAACCAGGAAAAAATTTAATTCTTCCTGTTCTGGGTCTTGAAAACAAATTATCTGGATAAACATAGTATTTTCTTCAGTTAAAAAGGTCAATGAATCAACAACCTACATAGCAGCAGCCAAATTGAAATGAACACAACCAGGTGAGAAAAGAACCCTGAGTAACACCTTCCAAATAGACTGCTAACAGATTTTGAACTTGAGCAATGTTGGATGTCAGTGAGAATACAGCATATTTCATCTRCTCAGATAAGAGATGGGCAGAGAGCAGCCAGGACTGGGTAAGGAAGGGTCCCACACCACAGGGTCAAASTTCAGCAAGGACAGGTTGCAATGCTAGTTGACCTTTTTCTGTACTTGTTTTGCCCTTGCACATTTCATTCTGATATAGAGCACAAGAGCATAATGTCCATCAGAACTCATATCTCCCCACCAAGAAAGAGAAATCTTCCATACTGTCATCCAGAAATGCACATATGAATTCCATATCAATCAATCAATCACACAATWCCACTGAACTAAAATCTGAGTCCCATAAGGTGGCACTGTATTAAAATCTTGGACTGCATTAGAATAAAAAAATCAGTTTTGAGTCCTGTGGCCATGGGAAGTAACAGAAGTCCCTGGTTGACTTTGATGAAACTTAAAGCAAATGCACAACTCACATCAATGGAAAGTATAAAATGTTATAAATACTTACACAAGAGACAAGGAAATGTTCCTTCAGAGAAAGGCCACAAACTGACTGTGAGTGATCTGAGAAGAAAGGAGAGAAAGAAAAAAATGGAATCAAATTGGTAATAAACACACTAAATGACACCAATGTAACAATATAAAACAGGGATCAAGGAGATGGTAGCAATTCCTACAGGAGAGGAAAAAAAATTCACAGACAACACAGCTCTTGCAAGTTTTAAAACTACCTGATCCCAGAACTATGTAGCTGACCAAACTGGTAATGTTTGAGGAGCCTTTCAGTCCTGGGATAATTCCAAGGCAGCAGAGACTAAATATCCTCTGGTGGCTGCTCAACAGTCTCCGTGAAATAGGCTTGTGGCTCCTATGGACAAATGCTCYTATCACAAAAACACTGCCAGATTTGAATGGCATCCTTCTTAGCAGTCATGCCAGATGATACAGGACTCTGAAACAGAACTCGTCTTCTTGATCCTGACCTTCACAGAAGAGGGGTKAGGCTTATTATTAGGGCTGAGAATGCTTACATTACAGCTGATAGCTGCACAGAAAAATTGTGTTGTCTTAGTTCCTTCTGTCAACACACTATCTCTTGGACTTGATTGATTTGTTACCCTGAGACCCCTAAGAAAAAAAATTATTTCATGAAAGTGGAATGGCTAAAGGTTTGCAAACTTTTGGTAGACTACAGGTCTACTATGGAGTATCTAAGCTTTATTGCCAACATATTTATTTCCATATTTATTTCCAAAACATATTAACCTGGGATGAAGMAATAAACAAAATTAATCAAAGCCTGATGCTCTGAATTGTAACAAGAAGACACACTCCTGTTGGACACAGAAAACAAAGGCAGATGCTCCCCAAATGTTCCAATCAGTCCTGTCTCCCTTTCCCTTTGCCAAGCTGAAAAAATTTGGGTAGTCAGGCCAGACAGTGCTCTCCAGAAGATTGTTATCAGGGGACCAGGAGAACAGTGGAAAATGACCACGGGATCCATGTGGTGCACTCCAGCACTGAGGACATGGCCCTCAACTTCTGTTTCCTGTCTAGTTACAGGGAGAGATTAGCTCTATCGTTCCTCAAAACAATAAAAAAACCCTCAGAGAAATATAAACCTGAATTCAAGGAGAGTGAAGGAAAAGAGAGGAGCTGTCACAGGAGAGAGGGAAAGCAGGCAGAAAATCTGTTCAGAGTTGTAGCTACTGTTTGTGGGAATTATGGTCCTGGTAGAGGAGAGTGTGAGAGAAAGCATGTGCTCATATCTAGTGGTTGGTTTGCARGGGAGGTGGAGAGAAAGCAGCAAAGAGCAGAGACTCTTAACAGCAAATTTCTCTCTAAAGAAGCGACTGCTCCCTCATGCAAGGAAGATTTGCATGAGACCAAAGACAGGATGGATTYTGCCCAGACTGAAAAGCTGAAATGACACAAAATGAAAGGAAGGGCAAGATCAAGCTGGCAGAGAGAAGGTCACTATCCTGCTTTCAAAAATTTATTATTCTAATGAACTGTAATAGGGAAGTTCTCCTGGTGGAGAAAAATCACCTTTCTTAAGCACGTACCCCTTATTTTCCTTTTASATTTCTCCTGATGATTTAACCATGGAAGTCCATGGACTCATCTGTAATAGATACTGAAGGACTGTTAGTGGCTGGTAGTTGGGTAGTATTTCTTTCAGAGTTTGGGCA